CACTGAGGGTTGCGATCCGTTGCCGGACATGGAAAAAGATAAAAAAGACAAAAAAAAAAAAAATCTGTTTAATCTTATCAATTGGTGCCCAGGACTTAATGCTACAAACCACTTCCTTTTTGTATAAAAACGCTGAAACATTTGGATACAGCTATGGGGTCTCCACTACCTTCCCTTTTCTAAAATTAACCATCCATAATCCCTTTGGCCATTCCGCCTATGACATACTTTTCAAATCCCTTACAATTCTCTTTGTCAGCTTCTGAGCATACTCTGGTCTGAGGAATGGGATCAAACACAGTGCAGTACTAGCGCTCTTTGCCTTCCGGCTCAAGGGGGTTTAGTGGGGCCAACCCTACTTTCATTGTGCACATGCTGTGAGCTTCAGTCTGTGCTGACAGCAGAGTCATGGAGACTGGAGTCACACAGTCAGATCCTGGGCCTCCCCTGGCCACCTGTGTTAACTTGCACATGGCACTTACTCTGAATCTCAGTTTCTGCATTTGTGAAATGGGAAAAAATGCCCTTATAATGGAGCTTTGTTGTAAGAATAAAATAAATAATATCTGTAGCGTACCCAGAGGTGTTTTGTCATACATCAGGGCTAAGAAACTAACTTTCCTTAAGTAAAACTGAAGTATTGGTAGATTCTCAATTATTCAATTTTTGATTAGAAGTACAATTTTTCTTTCAATGCATGTCAAGGGATTTTCACCACAAATCCAAAATAAGACAGGAAGTACAATAGCTGGTGCCTTCTTAGCTCTGGACTATGCCAATAAGATATCTAACATGACAACTTGTCCTTCCCTTCCTCTCCACTGAACACCTAAGGTCCTTTCTAGAGCTCCCCATTTTGACAGCCCATTCATGCTTGCTTACCTGGATCAGGGATTCTGACTACATAAATATCCTTTCCCTCAATGCATTGGTCAGTTTGATGATGAATAAAGGGAAAGGAGTGTGAACCTCATCCAGGCTGAGTATCAGGCGAATTTTCTTGATTGCCTTTTCATACTCTTAGTAACACAAGCTTAGCAATGGCTTTGGCTGCTGCGGACCATCCACATTGTTCCTGGGGATTCAAGAAAGCCTGGTTTGGGTGTGCCTTGAGTGATGACTTCATAGTTCATCTTTTGCTGAGGCCACAGATTCTACCAGGGTAAAGAGCTAAGGTTGGTGAGAATAGTTCTTTATTTTTAATTTCTCATTGAACAAATAAAAATGTAAATTATTTTAAAATCCATGACTATCGAACTCACCTTTCACAGCCGGAATTGTTGATTATGAATTCCAGAGAACTTTATAAAGTAGATGTTTTTCATTTAGTTTTGTAGGTGGCTGGGGGCTGAGTATGTACAATGTGAACGATTTAGTGCTCCCCTCAGACAGGGAAAATAATTACGTACATGCTGTGAGGATGAAGGTGTATATATTTGTGTGGTAGGAAAGACTGGAAGACTGATAGAACACAGCAAATTCCCTAGGGCTGTATTGCTTCCCCTTCAAGGAACAGGTCCTTGGGTTTGTCGTACAAAAATGACTTGTGGAACCAGGTGACTCATTAAGGCTTGTCTGGCCCTTCCCAAAGGAGCATGTATATGCTATAGTGTCCTTTGGAATCCCTTCTCCCTCGTCAAATGAAAGTAAAGCAGAGAGTTCTTGGTTTCTCAGAAGCATGTCCAACATTCAAAACGATTAGATTCTCCGCTAAACTGGGCTCAGTATGATGATGCCAGAATATTTTCCAATTAAAATAACCTTTGAATGAAATTGAAAAGGAACATTGGTGTTGAAGGAAGAAATAGTAAGAAAGAAAATTATTACTTTGACTTAGTGACCATTTAGGGGCAGGAAATAAACTCAGCATAATTCTGTCTAGAATTCTATGTACACAAGATTGGTCGTTATTTAAGTGTCTTGGAACTCCTTTCTTCCCACCATTCAACAGAGAAATTCAAGACAGTCTTCTGAGGCATATAAGTACTGAACTTCCATTTAGGCAGCAGGCAATAAGCCAAGTGTCTTAGAGACTTGACTCAATTCATTCCCCAAATACCTCACCTTCCTTTATATGCCTTAAGGGTTAACATTGAGGTCCATCATTCCTACAGCTCTTTGACAAGTTCCAGTAAGCAGAGGCATGTCAAAGTGATTTTTTTTTTTTTTTTTGCTGTACACAACCATCATTGTCTAACCTCAAGTTTTGCTCAAGGCCAAATTCCTTTACTTCTTGCATCATACATTTACCCATGTCCCTTCTATGATTGTCTGACTCTAAATGGGAACATGTTCTTCAACATAAAATCATCAAAATTCCTCACTTTGTCAGTTCTATTTAAACGTACTTAAATTATCAAGAAGCAGAGAGGATTGCAACACCATAATAAGAAGAAGCAGTTTCCCAAATCTTCATAACTATGTGTGTCAATAGATCTGCAACCTACTCAACTTATCTTCAGCACTAATTTGAATTATTAGACTTTTTGGAAAGTAGCAGTGGCCAGTGCACCATAAGGCATAAGATGTTAAGACCAAGCCCATCATTTGTTTAATCGCTGGTTTATTCAAACCATCAACCTACCTAAATTGAGTCCCTGCTCTCCAAAGCACAAAACAAAACATAACAAAATAAACCTCAACCCAGACGGAATTTATCACATAGTGTGATCACTAAGTGGCACAATGACAGCATGTAGGAGTTGCTTCAAAAATATAGAAAAACAAGTGATTAACTTTTCATCAAGGGGTTGTTTAGGGAAGACAGCATAAATAGATAGTCAGATGCTAACATGGAGCATATTTGCAAGAATTTTGATGGAAGCTTTGTCCACAGACTTGGAAAAAGAATTGTTGGAATAGAAATTTGGCTGGGGATGGAGACCAGTAGCAGTGCTATCAATGTGCTAATTTCATCTCTGTAGACAAAACAGACCCCTTAGCTAAGGGTATCAAGTCGTGGAGAGTAAGAGATGGAGCAATATGTGAAAGCAGAAAAAGCACAGTCCACTGTTACTCAAAATGTACTTCATGGACTGGTGCTACATGGTAGACTGTTTATTATCAGTCCATGACATGTTAAGGACAGAAGTTGAGAGTAAGCATTTACACTTTTATGGCAATTTGAGAAAATACTTTTAAGTGTGTTGAATCTAATAATTTAAAAAAGAAATACCACATGTTCTCACTCATAACTGGGAGCTGAATCCATAAATAAACAAATAAAGAATAAAGAGAGACAGAGAGAGAGAAAGAAAGGAACAGCACTCACAGCAATATGCTGAACTTATAGAAAGAGAAAAAAGAACCATGGTTACTAGAGGTGGAAAAGGGGAGGGGAGGGGGAGAGACAGGGGGCCGATGAAGAATTGGTTAATGCACACAAAGAATGAGTGCATATTATAATGATGAATAAGCTAACTATACTGATCTAATCACCACACATTGTGCACAATTATTGAAAATCAATGTTGTACCCCACATGTATGTATAATATATTATCTTTAAAAAAAGGAAACAGAAATCTAATGCCTAATAAACCTTTTAATTAAAAAAAATAGGAATTTTATAGTTTCAGGTCTTGTATTTAAGTCTATAATCTATTTTGAGTTCATTTTGGTATATGGCAAGAGGTACTAGTTGAAGATGTAGTTTCATTCTTCAACATATGGGTGTACTGTTTTCCCAGCAGCAGTTATTGAAGAGGCAGTCTTTTCCCCAATATATGTTCTTGGTACCTTTGTCAAAGATCAGTTGGCTGTAAGAATGTGGGTTGATTTCGGGGTTCTTGATTCTGTTCTATTGGTTGGAGCATCTGTTTTTATGCCAGTACCATGCTATTTTGTTTACTATAGCTTTGTAGTATAGTTTGAAGTCAGAGAGCATTATGTCTTTATTTCTTTAGCTCAGGATTGCTTTGGCTATTCAGAGTCTTTCGTTGTTCCACATGAATGCTAAATTGTTTTCTCTATTTCTGTGAAGAATGTTATTGGTATTTTAATGGGGATTGAATTGAACCTGTAGATCACTTTGGGTAGTATTGACATTTTCACAATGTTAATTCTTAAAATCCAAGAGCATGGAATGTCTTTCCATCTTTTTGTGTCCTCTTTCATTTCTTTCAGCAGTGATTTGTAGTTTTCATTGTAGAGATCTTTCATCTCCTTCATTACATTTATTCCTATGTATTTCATTTTTTTTGGTGACTATTGTAAGTGGGCTTGCTTTCTTGATTTCTTTTTCTGTTAGCTCCTTATTGGAGTATAAAATTGCTACTGATTTTTCTGTGCTGATTTTGTGTCCTGAAACTTTACTGAAATTGTTTATCAGATCTAAGAATTTTTTTTGTAGAATTTTTAAGTTTTTCTATATATAGGATCATGTCATCTGCAAACAAGAACAGNCACAGATTCTACCAGGGTAAAGAGCTAAGGTTGGTGAGAGTAGTTCTTTATTTTTAATTTCTCATTGAACAAATAAAAATGTAAATTATTTTAAAATCCATGACTATCGAACTCACCTTTCACAGCCGGAATTGTTGCTTATGAATTCCAGAGAACTTTATAAAGTAGATGTTTTTCATTTAGTTTTGTAGGTGGCTGGGGGCTGAGTATGTACAATGTGAACGATTTAGTGCTCCCCTCAGACAGGGAAAATAATTACGTACATGCTGTGAGGATGAAGGTGTATATATTTGTGTGGTAGGAAAGACTGGAAGACTGATAGAACACAGCAAATTCCCTAGGGCTGTATTGCTTCCCCTTCAAGGAACAGGTCCTTGGGTTTGTCGTACAAAAATGACTTGTGGAACCAGGTGACTCATTAAGGCTTGTCTGGCCCTTCCCAAAGGAGCATGTATATGCTATAGTGTCCTTTGGAATCCCTTCTCCCTCGTCAAATGAAAGTAAAGCAGAGAGTTCTTGGTTTCTCAGAAGCATGTCCAACATTCAAAACGATTAGATTCTCCTTCAAAACAATTAGATTCTCTGCTAAACTGGGCTCAGTATGATGATGCCAGAATATTTTCCAATTAAAATAACCTTTGAATGAAATTGAAAAGGAACATTGGTGTTGAAGGAAGAAATAGTAAGAAAGAAAATTATTACTTTGACTTAGTGACCATTTAGGGGCAGGAAATAAACTCAGCATAATTCTGTCTAGAATTCTATGTACACAAGATTGGTCGTTATTTAAGTGTCTTGGAACTCCTTTCTTCCCACCATTCAACAGAGAAATTCAAGACAGTCTTCTGAGGCATATAAGTACTGAACTTCCATTTAGGCAGCAGGCAATAAGCCAAGTGTCTTAGAGACTTGACTCAATTCATTCCCCAAATACCTCACCTTCCTTTATATGCCTTAAGGGTTAACATTGAGGTCCATCATTCCTACAGCTCTTTGACAAGTTCCAGTAAGCAGAGGCATGTCAAAGTGTTTTTTTTTTTTTTTTTTGCTGTACACAACCATCATTGTCTAACCTCAAGTTTTGCTCAAGGCCAAATTCCTTTACTTCTTGCATCATACATTTACCCATGTCCCTTCTATGATTGTCTGACTCTAAATGGGAACATGTTCTTCAACATAAAATCATCAAAATTCCTCACTTTGTCAGTTCTATTTAAACGTACTTAAATTATCAAGAAGCAGAGAGGATTGCAACACCATAATAAGAAGAAGCAGTTTCCCAAATCTTCATAACTATGTGTGTCAATAGATCTGCAACCTACTCAACTTATCTTCAGCACTAATTTGAATTATTAGACTTTTTGGAAAGTAGCAGTGGCCAGTGCACCATAAGGCATAAGATGTTAAGACCAAGCCCATCATTTGTTTAATCGCTGGTTTATTCAAACCATC